ATAACACCGTATTGTTAAAAAGTATGCAAACATTAGATTAATTGGCCTTAACTCTTGGTTATGAATATGGCATAGGAAACCATACCAGGGAACTGTCACCGTGAATAGTATCAACATAAATTAGAATTAAATGTGCTTAAAATAGATACGTTGCTCCTATTACTATTTTTGAATTTTTATTTCATGGTGTAGATGTCCTTGTTCCAAATGTTATGTAAAAAATAATACACAACATAAAAATTTGTAGCAAATAATCAGAATTATAAATAAATCATATATTATAGATATGAAATACCATATATGACGTCACATAACAACAATCTTTATGGAGTATGCAACATACTGTCGAATCTATATGTATTGAAAGAGGTTGGTGGTAAAATCAATTGTGGAAAGTTAATAAAAAACTTGGGAAAATTTTTTTTGAAGTTCTCTTCTCTCTCTCGCCAAAACCAAAAATCCTATCGCCGACTGTTATCTTCTTCGTGTCGTTTTGCCTTCCTCGCCGGCGGCGCGGCTACGGCCATCTACCGCCCTTGATCGCTCGTCCCTCCCCCTGTCTCCTCGGTCGTCTGCTGTAGCTGTGGTGAACCGGAGCTAGATGGTCTGCCCCTGCCCTTGGTCGCCGACGAAATCGAGATTGCAGGTGGTGATCTCCTCGGTCGGCGATTGGTCTGGTGATTGGTGGTGTCGATTGCCGGCGGGTCTCGATTAGAGGTGGTTAGCCCTTAAAGCTAAAATTGACGTGACTGGAGGGATCCCCTTGGGCGGCTCCGCTCCGATGGGGCTTTTCGTTTTGGTTGCCGGCGGTCTGTGGTGATGGCCGGTCGGAGGGTCAGCAGGTGGGGCGGGGCTCCGGCGGCTGTGGTGTCTTTCGTCCGAGAAGCCGGAGTTGTAGGACAGAACCGCTCTCTCTCTCTCCCCCTGGTTCTCTGGTGTTGGGGTCGGGTGGGGTCCGGAGCACCCGAGTTTGACTAGTGGTGTCAGATGAATTCGAGTTGTGAAGGTGCGGAAGTTGGTGTCGTCGTTCTCTCGGTCGAGGGCGAATCGTTTTGGGGCTAGGTACGGGACTCGAGTTCGGCTTATGTACAGGCGGTTTCGCAGTTTTTATAGTTGTGCCTGAGTTCGGGATCTTCCTTGGATCAATTGTTCTCTACTGGCCGGGATCGTTTGTTAGCTGGGGAAGGGCTTGAATGTGGATATTTTATTATTTTGTTTTCTGTTTTTTTTTTTATGTTTGTGTTGTTTAGGTCCTGTGTTTTGGTTTGGATTGTTGGCCCCTGTGAACCCGAGTGTCAA